GGGGGTGTTTTTTCCTCCCTCCCCCCTCCCGCGGGATGAAGGGAACGGCCGGGCCAGGCTCCATCTCCCCGGCCCTGGGGGCTTCCAGCCTGCTGCTGGCCCTGTTCCCCGCGGTGGGGTTTGGGGGCAGCGGCCGTGCCAGACTTTGCTCACCCTCGCTTGTCCTTGGCCGGGTCAAAGCGTGGGGTCATCCCTCCCTTCATCGCTGAGGGATCTGCTACACGTGGCACTGGCTGCAAGAGTCTGACTTATTTAGCGTGTTGCAGTTGTCCTGAAAGGCTTCACGAATCCAGGTTTTGCACGGACACTGCGAGTGTAATTCACGGCTCTGAAGAGGTTACAGGTGTTTGTTCTTGTTGTTTAGTCACGAGAGGAGAGTTGTAACTCTCGGCAGAGCTCCCAGCTCCTGCTTGTTGGCTGACCTTGGGCAAATTGCTTTTCCTCTGCGTGCTCAAACTGCACACGTGCTGGTTTCATACAGTAATTGAGTGCTCTTAGGGACTGGAAAAACTGTAGGAATAGAAATGCAAAGGGAAGCTTGAAAATGACGTTGACCTTGTCTTGCAATATGCTTCACTGCAGGCCAAAGTCAGGTCTCCATTTTCTTGCAGTCGCCTATCTGGGATGACAGCACTGTTGACGTGCATTTTGCAAAAATGCCGTGGATTGACAAGGCACCGACATCTGTAACAGGTATCTACAAAGTCTGTTAGTACCGGAGCACACGGCCAGGCTACACGTTTCCCCTTAGCACTGCTCTGCAAGGTAGGACGTTACTAATTGCCCCCACGTAGATGGGAAACTGAGAACCAGAGCGCGCCAGAAACTACGCCAAGGTTGCACGAGAAGTCTGCAGCAGAGCAGGACGCCTTGCACTGACCTCCTTAGTCCCAAACCAGCAGCTTTGCCACCGGACCTTCCTGCCCTCTGGTTGTGCTTTTCTTCATGTTGTTAGTTCCACAGAACTGTTCACTCTGAATTTGCAAGATATTACTAAATGAAACTCCAGAGCTAAGGAGTTTATAGTGTAATAACGTTGTCCTGGGGGCGTATTGAAGGGACGGAGACTTCCTGAGTTGCTCTGCAAGGAGACCTTGTTGGAAAATCAGGTTTTAAGACTTTCTGGAAGAGGTAAACAGAAGTGTTTGGTAGCCAGAGGGGGAAGGATTTTCTAGCCTCTGAAGCTTGTAGAAAGAGGAGACAAGAGAAGCAGAGATCAGAAAGAGATCATAACATTGGTGTGGAGGGAGGAGTGGAATTGGGTGCTGCCTTGAAGGTGATGGTTCAGAGCATGAATTTGTGTTGTGATGAAAATCTGAAGGCTGAGATTGGCCCCAAACACCTTTCTTACATCATGCGTGAGCAGCAATGGTCTCTGCTCATCATGACTTGTTGAAGCAGAGTTGTGCTGGAGACAGACTGTGGGCAGCACTGCGGATGGCCCCGAGCAATGTGGCATCTTGAGCTTAGCAGATTTTTGAATGATGTGGGGATTATTTCTTCTTAAGGGGAAAAGCTTTTATATGACATCCAGACTGCTTCTCAAAAATTCCCTGTCCCGGCTCTCAAGACCCTGAGCAGCACTGATAACAAGGACTGGCTTGACTGGTTTGCAGGTCTGCGGAAATCTCATGGACTCACTCTGGAAAAGGTTCATAAGGGACTTTGGCACAGGTTTTCTTTCTCTTGGAAACTCACTTTCTGCATTAAATGTGAAAAGTACTGGCCGCCTTGGGTGGTTTAGGTGCTGCAGGAGCAGGATGCAGCCTCCAAGCTGCTGTCTCGCCAGGGCAGGGATGCTGTGGGGCTGCTCAGTGGGTGCTCAGGCACCACGCTCGCAACCCAGCGAGCCACGGCAGGGCCTGTGGGGTTTGATGTGTTGAATCGTTGGAGACCAGTCCTGTTCTGAGGACCACACAGGCCTAACCTGGAGATACCGTGATCTTTCTCACCTGTTTTGAAACGTGGTGCTTGTGTCCTCAAGAGCCCTGTGAGCTGACCCCAGTCAGTCTGTCTGCGATGCTTTCTGGAGGTGTGACTGAGCTTGGGCAGACCTGCCTGAACTGGCTTTAAACTCGTTAGTTCAGGCACCGATAGCCAGCGTAACCACAGCAGCGTGGTTGCTGGTGAACACTCACCAGCTGTGGTGCTTGCACGGAGCCCGGGGCAGTTTGGCAGCAGGCAGTCTCATAGCTGTCTTCTTATCTATTCCTTAACTAGTTAGTTTTAATCCAGGCGTGATAGGCCTGCATCAGGTTGTGGTTGTACCAACATTTGCAGTGTGGAGAAAACAGCACCGTCTCTTTGATCTCAATTAACTCCTAGTTGTAAGCCACAAGTCGTGCTCTCTGCCATCTAGCAGCACATACCTGCCCTCTGGCGTAGGCGGAAGAGGGATGAAGTGTTTCATTGTGTATTTTTACCTTAATAAACTCCACAGAGAAGTTTGCTTCTGGGGGGAATCTAGCTGTTTGCAGCCTGTTGGCGTCCTGCATAGGAAAATGGTTAGCATGTGTTTTTTGAGCAACAGACTCTTTAAAAAACAAAGGCCACTGACTAGTTTTGATGTTTTCTTTCTAATGCAAAGTCCATTTTATTCAAAGGTTGAGGTTTTCTTGTTTGTTTTTTAATTTGGAAATAACCTTGGTGGTGTTCCCTTGCAGATGCACGGAGACTTCCCGAGCCCCAAGAGGCCCAGCTGAGCTCTTACCGAGGCTTCTGATCCAGCCCAGCCAAGAGCTTTGTGTGGGTAGAGGACGTGAGTCAACAAATGGTCTCTGTGAGTTGCCAGGAGCTGCCACCCTCCTTGACCAGCTCTTCCCTGCTAGAGAGCTTTGCCAGTGCTCTGCAACGCAGCATGCCGCCATCCCTTCTGCCGGGGCCTGGCAGCGAGAGGGCGTCCGGCCACCCAGAAGGCTCCAGCCATCTCCTTGCAGGCAGCACCAGCCACTCTGAAGGCACCTCGCCCCCCCTCTCCGGTGCAAAGGGGGAAGACGCAAAACCCCACGTTGCTGTCTGCGAGGCTCACCTCAAGCTGCCTGACTTCTGCGGCAGCCTCTCACAGGACTTCATTCCCACCCTGGAGGAGATCGAGGAGTTCCTAAGGGAGAAGGCTGAGTTCCTCAAAGACGAAGCAAGCGAGCATCACTCAGCTGGAGGGAAGGTCGAGATCAAATCTGAGATCAGCTTAGGTAGCTCTGGGGGACAGCCTGTCTCCAGTGTGATTCAAGAAGAAGAAGTCTCAAACGTTGCCCAGCCTGGAGGGAGAGCTGACGGTAGTGACCAGGCAGTAGCTGCTGGGAGCATTCCTGTTGTCCTCCAAATCCAGCCTCTCCAGATGGACAGTGGCAACCCGCTAGCACAGAGTGCTACGGGTGGTGTCAGGGTGGCCCAGCTGGTTATCAGCTTGCAGGGCCAAAACCTGTCCCTCCTCCCTCAGGTCCAGCCCCCTGTGACCATCATGGACCAAAAGTACGTCAAAATTGCCCCGCTGCCAGTCGCCGTGAGGCCAGGGGCACTGGCAGACGAACAAGAGGTGGAGGCACCCCCCAAATATCAGAAAGCCCCCCCTTTCCGTGTCCATAAGTGCTCGCACCCGGGCTGCGGCAAGATGTACACCAAGAGTTCCCACCTCAAGGCTCACTTTCGTCGGCACACCGGCGAGAAACCCTACACTTGTGCTTGGCCCAACTGTGGCTGGCGGTAAGTGGGAGCCGCGGGACTCCGTGTGAGTGGGTGTCCCTGCCAAAGGCCACTGCTGCTTGCCAGGATGCAGGAGAGCTCTTGGCTAGTGAAAATCCAGGATAAAATCACAAATTTTCTTTCCTGAGCGAATTATAGGTGAGAGCTGGAAGGAGGCCTGGAGGGGTAAAGTTTGTTGAGCGCTTTGGGTAGTTTTCACTCAGTCTAAAACTGCTGAAAACCCCCAGCTGGGGAAGCGTAGCTGACACTCTCCCAAACACCCCAAATCCCCCTTGAACTGGATGCCTAAGCACTCTCTGGCAATACCGCTTTTCCGAGTGATCTTGTAACTTTGCAAGCTTTCTCTGCCTAGTTCAGGGAATTTTCTGCAGTTGGGCTACAAAAATGGCTTTTCCCGTTAATATTTGTCCCAGGAAGTAGGAGTCTCACTGCTTCCTCAGCAGCCCGTGCATAGTTCTGTGTTTGTTTAGCAACACTTTGCTTTCTCTTGCTGTTTGCCTGCCCTGGCTGACTTGCATCCCTCAGACACCTGTGAGCCTGTACCATATCTCCATGTTGCATTTACTTTTGTTTGCTCTGCACATGATGGTGGTTGTCATTTTCTTTCATCTGTGTTCCCTAAATTAACCTTGCTTTTTATTCTTGCAGCACTTCTCTGATTATTTTTCTGCTGCGGTGTTCTCCTCCTGGTACCGCGTACCTGTCCCGGAGGGAAGGATGCTCGGTACAGCCTTTGGCAAGAAGAACTAATAGTCCTCAGGTCTTGCGTAGCGCTTTTCATCAGCAGATCTCAAAGCATATCACAAAGAAAACTGGTGCTGGCAGAACTGAGCTTTCCTGGTTTCTTATGCAATGCTTTGGCAGACCTCGCTGCCTTGTTTCCCCGGATGGTGTGTTTTGGCTTCTGTCTCGGGGTGGTGAAACTCTGGAAGGTATGAGACTAGATCTGAATTTTAGGCAAGCTGCTGTCCCTTTGCCATCAGCAATTGTCCCTCCATTTCACTTCCAACCACAGTACACGTTTAGAGGCATCGGCTCCTTTCTGGTACCAAGCAGTACTGCTAAACTCTCCTACACCCGACGCTCAGAGCGTGGGGATTGAGGAAGGGGACAGTGGCAACCAGACAAGCATCGCTTTTCCCTCTGGGAAGGAGGAAAGGGATGGTTCTAGCCTGTACGATCGCATCCTGCGGGCTGTCTGCTGAGTTGCTGTGCTCTGCTCCACTCCCTGCCCTCCCCCTCCGTGGGAGCAATTACGCTATCGAGTGATGTACTCAGCTGCGGCTGGGGTTCTCCGGGCCGCGCTCCCTTTTCTAGATGTGGCTCTACCTGTAAATATGTATGTAATGTCTCCTGGCCCTGCTTTCTATGAGGGGCTGAGACCTTGGAGCTTCCTTCTTGCAATAAAGCTGGAAAAGAAGTTAGTGGTTTGTACGGAAGACCTGAGCATGGCCTTGGGATGCATTTCATTTTCACAGAAGGCTTTGTGAGCAGGCGCAGTATTTACTGTACCAGGTGTGAGCCTGAAATCCTATCGCTGGGAGTCTGGGGTTACATCTGAAGCTCTTTGCTTTGTGCTTCTTTGCGTGGGCATGTTTCAGCCATGTGGAAAAACCCTTCCGTCCTAATACTCCTGCCATCTGTGTTGGCTCCTTAGAGGCAGAACAGGAGCAGATCCTGTCCGGTCCTCCTCTCCAGCACCCCCCTGACTCTCGGACATGCAAAGCATGCTGAAGTCACACCAGCTCCCAGGCCTTGTGGAGACCTTTGAGGTGGCACTCGTAAAACTGCTATGGACCATTTGGCTGCGGGTGCCCCCAGGTCTGGATCTGTGTGTGCCAGGTGGAAGAAAGGCAGGAGAATTAATTTGGGACATGCATGTGGTTAAAGGGACTTTCCAGGCAGTTTGGCTGATCTGCTCCAGGTGCGGGAATTACACAGACAAGCAGTCTGAACACTGGGTGCATTCTCAGAACAGCAGTCAACTTGCTTCGGTGTGGAAACCTCTGCTTCTGTGCTCCAGGCTGGATGCGTTTGCTTTTCCTCGCTTCTGCTTGGTATTTAAGCCAGCGCACAGGCTGCTTCTCTCTCCCCAGCTCCTGACCAGCCCAGGCTGACAGTGAAAACTCGCTGCCATTCTGAGAAACAAGGGGATGCTCAGAGTTTGTAAGGATAACCCATGGTCTATCAGGAAAAACAAGCCTTCTCTCAACAGCGATGCTCTTCTTGGTTGGGCGTGGGCAGTTATAGTAAAACCTTTCCACAGACTTCTGAATGGTGTCTCTTAGTCACTGCCAGCCTGGGCTGATGCCGCGAAAAGCGATTTCTCTCAGCGCCTGCCCTTGGGGCTATCACCTCCCAAACGGTTTCAGCAAGTCTAAAACAAAGGAAGGACATAGGTGGACAGTGTCCTTCAAGGAAAGAAATTAATTATTTTCCTCTTTCCTATCTCTAAATCACCCCGTGGAGGGGTTTTTTTTCTTTCCATTTTTTTCCCACTGTGCCTCACTGGTAGACTGGATGGAGCAGAACAGAAGTGACCTGTCTAGGGTCACCCCAAGAGCCTGTCGCAGAGACAGACCTCAGCCTCCCACATGCCGGGGTCCCCGTGTTCCCTGTCCTGTCTAACAGCCAAGGCTGGATCCACCATGCTTCCCTTCTCCTGCAGGTTTTCCCGGTCGGATGAGCTCTCCCGTCACAAGCGTTCCCACTCCGGTGTCAAGCCGTACCAGTGTGCCGCCTGCGAGAAGAAGTTTGCCCGCAGTGACCATTTAGCCAAACACATGAAGATCCACCGGGGCCAGCCGTACGGCCAGCGGACGCTTCAGGGTGGCAGCAGAAGTTAAGTCTCGCTGCTCATCCTTGCGAGGCTGAGTCCAGGAGGCCCCCAAAGCCAGGCAAACAGAATGCAAAACCCACTACACTAAGGAAGAGGGAGAAATTAATTTCTTTAACAAATGATAGAAGATCCGCTATTCAAGGATGACCTATATGCAGGGCCTGTTTCTGATACTCCTGTCCCTCTCTTAAATATATGTGATGGAAACCTAAGTTAATTCAGGGTGAGTGTGTGTGACTGGGTTAGAGGACAGCTTTACACGGTCCCTTTGCACAGCTCGTGGGTGTCGCCTGCCTGCTGCGCAGTGACAGGCAAGAACTGGCTTACAGCTCTGCATCCCCGCCGTGGAGCATCCCCTGGGCTGCTGCAGCTGCCAATCTCACCGGGATCCCAAAGCTCTTGGTCAGCAGTATTTCTGAGGCAGCCAGAGAGGATTTGTTCTGGCTGGACTGGCTCAGAAACCCGTGTGCATGAGCCCATCTGGCAGGGTGGCATCCAGGCAGAACCACGGATGGATGGGGGGTGTTTGTGTGATGTGCAGCAGCTGCCGGGGCTGAAAGCAGACGTTGGGGACGGCTTTTCCGATGTGGTTGAGGTGGTGGTTGTGTTGTCCTTAACTCTGCTTTTCTGCGTTGGTGGTTTTTCACCTGACTGGTACTGGGCGTACTGGTGTCCTTGGGGAGTGTGACACTGCGGCTACGGTTTGAGGGGGGGCAGGAAACGCATCTGTTCAGCTCGCTCAATGGTGTGTGTTGAAAGGGGATCAGGACAAATGTAAGCAGCACCAGCAAAGTCCTTTTTTACGTGCTGGCATGAAAGAACAGTGGTATGGAGAGACACCGATGTGTACGGGCCCCCAGAAGGGCTGTATGCTCCGGTCAGGAGGAGCAGTGCAGCTCACGGGTCGCTGACGTCCTTTTTGTATTTGACTTCTGGTTAATTAAAGGCCAATTCCTTGCTACTGTGCCAACTTCCCGAGCTTTTGCAAACATCTGGGAGGGAATTAGGTGCTTGCACAAAGAATAAGCGTCAGGAGTTTGAGCTAGGCAGCGTGCCCTTTCTACGTGGCTTTGCCAGCATGGCTCAAGCTGATACTTGTGCCTGCAGGCTCTTTTCAACTCAGGTGTGCTCATGCCATTCTCCTGTTACCCCAGTGCTCTTCCAGGGTAGGACTTCACGCACTTGTCTCAAGCTGCCCTTGAGCTGGCTTTAGTGAAGAGTGTTGGGTTGTACCCAAAATAAGGTCAGGGAAATGAGCTAAACTATTTTCCCTGCCCTGTGGAGGGCATGTTTGTGCAGCACAGAGGTTGTTCTCTGGTCCCTGCAGCCCTTTTCGAGTGATGACTCTGGGGAAGGAAAAAGGCAGACTGGTGGGGATGGATATGGTGTCCTGCTCTAAGGGTTGGTAGAAGCATCTCTGGACGAGACACCAAACTTCTGTACAAGAAACACAAGCTTGTAAAGCAATCCATCCAAGTGACAGCGTCGTGCGGCTGGAGATGTTTGCTGTTGGTGGCTGCTCCTTCCTCAGTGCAGCGACCGGAGCTCTTCCAGCTTTGTTGAGAAGCTACCACAGTGTGACTTCAGGGAAAGAAGGAGCAAGGGAACTGAAAACCCTTGATTAATTCCTAGTCTAGAATACTTGGAGATGCAGCTGCTGTGGAGATTGGAGAAGGATGGTGTAGGGCACTTTCCACCACTGAGGTTCTCTGGTGCACTGAGGGTCCCCATGAAGAACTTTCTCCTGCCGTTTGCTGTTCCAGTGCCGCAGGGCCACGGTCCAGCCCAGGAACTGGTGCTGCGGGTCACTATACAAACACCAGAGAGAAGGGTCCGCTTCCCCCATACCTTTGGCCCCTATAAACAGCAAAAACTTTCTCTAAAGTGGAAACTTCAGTGTGCAGAAACGATGTTTCCGCAGAAGAGAAACGTTACTAAAGCTGGCTTGGGGTTTGGATTCTTCATTGTAAAAACAAGCAGGCCAGCAGCTGAAGGAAGGCTCACTGGCCAGCTTCCAGCCGCAGCGTAGCAGGGAACCGATGACTTGCGGCTCACCCAGCTGCAAGGCTGCAGCGTGACCCACAGCTAATGGATCTGCTGTTAGGTTTCCAAAGAGCTGGCGTGCCCGGATTGCGCGTTTCTCGGAGAACACCTGCATTACTTGCTTTCCTAATCCCCAGGCGGGAGAGCAGGGTTTACAACAGAAATAGCTGGAGCCACGCTGCTTCACTTCGGATCCAGGCTTTCCCCAAAGGTCTGGGAGGGCTGGTTTCTGGATCCCGGCTTAAACTCCTTAATTCTTAGCTCATAAGTGGGTCGGTGTGGATAGGCTGAACGGAAAGTAGCTGCCTGCAGCGGGGTTTCTTTCCTGCGTGTGCAAGTGGAAGTGTGTAAGACCTGCAGCCCTCCTGTTGACTCTTTGGAGAGAGCTCTCCCCTCTGGGGAAGGAAGGAAGGTTTTGCAAGGATTAGCTGGAGATCTGGGCCTGCCTCGGGGAGCGAGCGCTCTCCGAATGTGCGGTGAGTGCTCCCACCTCTGCCCTGGCCAAGCGGGACCAGATGCCAGCAAAAAGCACAGCCCGAATTTGTGTGATGCTGAACCTGTAGCGATGAGCCAGAGGAGACAGGTACGCAAGAGCCTGCTTTGGGTTGCCTTTTGTTTTAGTGGATTCTTGCCCAACTATGAATTTACTTCATACCCTCTTTGCTTGAGGGCTTTCTTCAGAAGCCGTACACCAACATGACTCATGCCCGTCTCGTGCTTCTGTCTGTCCCCCTTTGCTCTTCTTCCCCGCTCCAGACTCTTTCACAGCACTCCCTGTTCATTTTGGACCTGCCCCATCCTGCCTCCCTCCGCTCTCAGCCGAAGGCGACTGGGGAGATTGCATGTTTCCAAACTGTGGAGCAAGAAGAGCTGTGCCTCATCGTTAGTCCCAGGCCCTCCTCTGTTCTCCAGCAGCTTATCTGCTGAGCAGCTCCCGCAGAATCCACGCTGGTCCCGGGGTGGATCTGCTGTGGAAGACAGGGCTGGGAGCACTGGCAGTGGTGACTTGCAGCTTACCTGGTTTGTTTTGCCATTCCTTTTAAACAAACCGCAAAGGGAGGGGAGAGATTTTTATAAAATAAAATACACTAGATACGTATCTCTTGTGCAATGTGTATTAGTCTCACCTGCTTCCCTCTGGGGACTTTGGATGAATGGCTTAAAAGGTTTACTGAAGGCTCTGTAATTACCTATCCTTTGCTCCAGCGAGGATATTACTCCACAGCAGAAACATTCATTGTGGAAGTACAGATGAGACCTGTGGCATCAGGAGGGACGAGAACCCTTCTGTCTTCCACGGACAAAAATACAGGACACAGACTGCCCTTGTGGCACCGAGGCTGCCGGGTTACAACCCTGGTGCCGTTAAGCGAACGGGGACGTGCGCCTGCCAGCTCCCTCTTGGTGGGAGGAACTGGTTGCCTTGTGCTCGAAGTGAAAAGGCTGTCGGGTTGCTAAGCAGTGCTTTTTAAGAAATTAAATGCAAACAGACAGGAGTTGTAGCAGGGCAGGATGTGGGAGAGCACAAAGAGAAATTCAGGCAATGTTTCTAAATTTGCGGCTGTGGCTCTGGATATAGCAGTACACAGTGCAGAGCCCTCCATCTTCAGCAGCGTAAGTGACAGCACTGACATCCCCAAGCTGCAGCCCACGTGGAGCTCGTGCTGGCTGCTCATCCTTTTGGATGAGATAAGGGCCTGTGCAAATCCACAGTTTGATTTAAGGCCCCTTTGGAAATACATCTCAAAGATGGATCATAGCATTGGGCTTTTTTTTTTCCCCAGTAAAATGAGAACTGGATTTTTATTAACAATTCTCCCTTTCAGAGCCCAGTTTTATTTGGAGCAAGTGCAATTCTGGGCAAAGCTTCACCTGGTGGTTAAGCAGCAGAAGCTGGCTTGGGGCAGGGACCAAACTGGAGCCTTGAGTTTTCTCAGAAGAACAGGAACTTTGCGGGCATGGGACCACGTGGGCTGGAAAACAGGCAAACGTTGGCAGGAGCAAAGAGACTCAGTTGAGCTTTCCTCCACTGCCACCAGCTGGGCCAGATCCTGGCCCTGAGTAACAAAAGGTGGGAGCTGGTGATGGGAAACAGGTGGAGAAGGTTTGCAGCCCTATCAGCAAGACATTAACCCTCGGGTGGCTCAACAGCAATTCTTGGGCCTGAAGCTGGAAGCAAAGGGGACAGGAGCCACTTGTTGGTTTGCACATGATCCGGGGTATCATTCAAGCTCTTCTGGAGCCATGGCTAAGCACAAAACGCAATGTTTTCCTGCAAAGAAGTGAGGTGTTATCATGGCCTTGTGCTGCAGCTGATGCAATAGCTCCCACCTGATGCTCTGCTCACCTCTCCCTGCCGTCAGCCGGTGAGCAGGCTCTGGGGGGGCTCCCGGAGCTGCTGCCCTGGGAACAGAGGGGTTAAGGGCACGGGGAAGCTTAATGCAGAGCTAAATTAAAACAGCTGGCTGGATTGATTTGGCCTGGCCAGGCTGGATGACTTACTGCTTCATAATCAGCTTTCGAAGCAGGCACAAGTCCACTCGCAGGGAGGCTGGAGCAGGGAAGAACACCTCTGTGTAGGAATAGGGCTGATGAGCGGTTGGCTTTTGTTTGTTGCTTGTCCTGTGGGGCTCTGCGATCCTAACCCCAGGCTGGATGCTTGTTTTTAGCATGGGCTTCGGACAGGTTGTTTGCAGGGATGCACCTTTCCTAGGAGCTGCTCTCTGCTGCCTGTGCAGGTAAACCACTTTGCTTTCTGTTGTTTTGTCTGAGGTGCTTTGCTGGAGGAAGGTTCCCAGCTGAGGTGATAAATTCCCTGGCCGGAGCCCCACAGGAGAGGATGGGGGCGATGGTGTCTGGTCAGTCGTGCTATTTCTTGTTGTTTGATCCAGGAACTGGGCAGTGGTACAGAAAGGGCTTATCCTTCTCTGCTTCCCTGGAAAATCCACCCAGATAAAGCCTTTT